ATTTAACATTTAGATCCTAGAGAATCATGTTATTCTTAACCCACCAAAATAAAAACATCTTAATTTACTATTGAGTGTTTCTGAAATTACATTATCTAAGATATTGGCTATTTAATGTAAGAATGCTGATAAGCTCTGGGAATGAGGCTGGCTCTAATAACAAACAGAATACTTTCCTTCAACCCTCAATCTCAATGCTCATATTTTAGTAATCTGAGCAGCTTCAGAATTTATAAATTTTCCAAATAAGGTATCAGGCCTGCCTTTGTAATTTCTGCTCTAACTACTTCACGACTCTGTGGACTCTAGACCTCCCACCCGCAGAGCGAATTAGTCCAGAATTTAAACAAACAAAAAGCATAGGAAAACTCTTAATAGCTGAAACATTTCTATTAGTTTCACTCCCCAGGGCAACAACTTCAAGTTCTGGAACATCAACCCAAGGCCAGCTGGAGAAGTGCGATGCTGCCAACACGTCTTCTTGGAGGATACAGCCAGCGTCGATGGGAAACAGCCCAGCAAAATTACATCGCAAATGACAGCTCAGTAGCCGTACTAAATTCAGTGAATCTCAAATGAAAGACACAATGGTGCTCTCCAACCTCCACTCAGTGGGCTATTTAGGAGCTAAAGGGTTGGGATTATACAGAAAAAATGCAAGGGAACTTTCAGCATTCATTATACAAGGAAACTCATTGTTATGAAATTGCTTACATTTTTTTCTGATGCCAGTCACATTAATCTCTTGTTCAGCTGAGAAATGGGTTAAGAAAGTGTTCTAATAACAGCAAATCAGATAAGGAGTGGGTGTGAAGGAATATAGTTACTCGGGATAATAAACTAAGCCTGCTATGGAGATTATTTTAGTGCTGACAGATTTCTGCCATCCTCTGTATCACCACAACAGAAGACACACCAAAAACTCTGTGCTAGACTATCAGTAAGTACAAAATCATTCGGAAGTGCATCAGACATACAGGGACATACTCGAGTTGCTGATTTGTCTGGATGGGCCCCAAAAAAGCTAGTTGCTTGATGTAGGTCAGCCGGAGTACAGAGCTTTGCACGACAAAAAAAGCCACAATACAAATACCTGTCAAAAACCAGGTGGATATTTTGACCTTTCTTCTCCATTGGCCTTTATCCTAGTTTTGAGCTTACTTTACTGCTGTGATTTTTTTTTCTCTTCTTTGGATTTTAATTAAACTCTCCTTAGGCTTGCTAGCTTGACATTTTCTTTTTCTTTTCTTTTTTTTTTTTTTTTTTTTTTTTCCTCTTTAAGAATGAAGGAAGCCTGTTTACTAGGCCAGTTTTCCCCAAATCTCACTCTCACTGCTTTATCTATAATTTAAATGTGTCATTAATGCACAATATCCAAGTAAAACTTTGTGAATTCTAATCAGACGGGTATAACAAGCTTTCCAATTATTTTGAAGCTGATTATCACCCATTATGTAACATACACATGCTTTTCACAGCTGTGCAGTAATAGAAAGATCTTAGTTTGCATCTAAGCCTAACAGTATTTAGCTGTGAACCAGATCATACCGAAAGTGTTTGCTGTTCGCTGCCAGGTGAGAACTGGGTCCCTACTAAAATTCAGAAGACATTTTGCTGCTGCTTTTCCTTGCGGCCAAGATTTCAGCTTGTCACAGACTGCAAATATGAATTCCTTTTCTCTTTGCTTTTCCAATTTTCTTCTCCCACACAAATCAATCTCACACTCATTCAACTTTATTAGATTTACTCTCGAATCATACTGCTGCAACTGAGAACAGAATCAGACCCAGCAATGCACTTTGCCTTGAAAATAATGAGCTGCATACGGTACAGTCCCCCATTTCTGTCCAGCTATGTGTGCTGTCCGGAGAACCTATATACTGAATTTCTGCAGGTTGTGCAACAGAGTCCTTTAGTTTTATATCAAGGACTACCCTGATTAGAGAGAGCCTTATAAAGACAAAGCACCACACTTGGATAATTCATGTGCATAGAATCCACATGCAGACCCGAAGTTACTGACCAGGCAAAGTTTTTCCAATCATCACACTGTGCAGTTTTGAAAATAAAGTGCTATTTGCTTATGGCTAAACCTTGCATGTGGCTATTGCATGTACCCTTCAGGCTGCATTGTCAAAAACTGGAACACCTTCACCAAAAAAGGATGGAGCCTAAGCACTAGGGCAATGACAGGTTTGGTTATTCTTTTGTTGTGGTTTTTTTTTCATTTTATTTTGTGTTCCAACAGAACTTTTGTCAAACATAGAGCACGTGAACACACAACAGTTTCCTTCACTGTTCCCCACACAGAGCTGTTCACAGAGGAGGAATACTAAGGAGGAATGTTTCTAAAGCCATAGGCAGCTTCTCCATTTATTTCAGGTTTTGTTTTGCGGTTTGTTCCTTTTTTTTGTTTGTTTTTCTTTTGTTTAATATTATGACAAAACGTTATAAGAAAAACGTTTTTAAAGTAGTGTGAATATCAAATAGTATCCATCAATCCCTGAATCATGCTATTCAAAGTGCTTAAATCTACACTAAAAATAGAACAACAGAAAAGTAGTCCCCGTGCGGCTAAGGAAAGACCTAACGATCGTCTGTGACGGCGGTCAGATAGTCACGTCCTACATTTATTCCACATCCCAGTCTTTACCCCAGGGCATGTAAAGGGGAGGGAAAGGGTAAAAAAATAATGCATTGCTTTCAGAGGATACCGGGGTATTTGGCATCCAGATGAATGAAGGGAAATGCCATCAGTGGCTGACAGGTGTCTGTAAAAGCGAATAAATAATAGCTTTCTTACACTATGAAAATAACCAAATGTGCAAAGCTCTCTTAAAATTTTATCTGGCCTGGCAGCTTCATTTCCATTTTGTGGATGTTTGGCGCATGTCCAGAGGGAGACACTGTAATAAAGAACAGATTGTAGAAAAGAACTGGAGCAAATTGTCAGGGAAATAAACATTTTTAAGCAAATAAAAATCAGTGCACATCCCAAAGCTCTATTAGCTTGTTATGCAGATACTGAGATCTCTTGACGTTCACAACAGGAGCACAGCCATTTCCTCCCACACTGTCAGTTCTGGATTACTCCCACAAACATCCCCCAAACTGCAGTTTACCTGCTCGCTACCCATCACTTCTCATTAAGAAGACCAAAATATTATAATCTGTACTTTTCTCACTGTGACAATCAGGATGAACAAACCCCGCACATCCATTATATTGGCCAATATCATTCAGCTACCATAAAAATACCTAAAGCTAATTAATTACATAAATAGCTCATAAGATCTGTTTGCCAGGATACCAATTACATTTCTGCCAGGGTAAATCAAACCCATGACTATCGGACAGTGTGCGGCAACCAGTAACTCTACCCCAGCTCCTCTGCTTCTGCTAGCAGAGACAAGCAGAGAGCTTGGTCTGAATATTTGTAGAGCTACAACACCGCTCCGCTCTCTTTCTAAAACCAGAAAGGACTTTTCTGTTATTTAAAACATGAGTAAGATGCTTATTTCGTTTCTCCTAAAGACGTCCAGATGTAAACGTAGTGGTTTCTTTTTTTTCTCCCCTGGCAGCCATGGTACACGCATTATTTGCAACTCCTCAAAGATAGAATCATACATAAAAAATAAAACTAATTTATTTATTCATTAAAGTGAATAAATTGTTTTTAATACTTCCAGGTCTGATTTAAATATTAATTTTGTATAAATAAAGTTTATTCTGAAAACAATTATATTTGTTGGTATTCATGTCACTTTTTTCTGCCTGAGTTCTCACTGAAATCATGTTGAAATTAATAAAGTTTTACTTATCATTACAAGCTAAAACCAAATGAAAGAAGATTTCTTAATCCTGAATATATAATTTTAAAGCAAATACAATTTTTGGAACATTAAAATACAAGGGGACTCTGGAATCCACAGCAAAATAATGTTTTGCTCTTACTTTTTTAGAAAATAACACTTTCTATAATACAAAGTGACAAACCATCTACAATACTGTCTTTTTATTCCCCTTTGGTTTGGAAGTCATCACTGTAAATAT